CACACACACCATCCCTGCCACACACACACCATCCCTGCCACACACACCATCCCTGCTGCCACACACACACCATCCCTGCTGCCACACACACCATCCCTGCTGCCGCATCTCCTAAAACATTAGCCAAAACAAACCTCCTTCCTCCAGCTGCCTTTGTCATGGGCTCGTTTCAGTGATGAGACAAATAACTAATCCGACCACTGATGTTTCTCTAAATTACAAAAGACCAGCACAGAACTAAAGAGAGAAGCACCTTAACATAGAGAAGGAAGAGAGTGGAGGTAAAATGTTCTTACGTCCTTCTGTTACCCAAGAGGAGGTTAATCTGAAGAGAGAGGCTCACACCATTCTATAGTAAAGCTCAGTGCCGGATGTGAGACTTCATTGATGGCCAATCCAATGCTGAGAGCATCAGGGAGCAGAGGGACAGAAGAGTGTTGGATAGCGAGAGAAATCAGGAGATGGTTTATGTATACAAACCAAAGAGGCATCCAGGGACTATAATTGCAATGAATAAGAGGACTACATTATTTGGTAGTGAGAATAAGAGGACTGGAAGTCTATTTTATTACATTTTGTGTGTGTGTGTGTGTGTATGTGTGTGTGTGTGTGTGTGTGTGTGTGTGTGTGTCTTAGTTACTATTCTGTTGCTGTGATAAAATGCCATGACCAGGGCAAGTTATAGAAGGAAGCATTTAACTGGGGGCTGGCTTACAGTTTCAGAGGGTGAGTTATGACCACGATGGATGGCAGGGAGCGTGGCAGGCGGCGCAGTGCTGGAGTTCCAGTTGAGAGATCACATCTAACCAGAAGTTACAGGTAGAGCCTGGCATGGGCTCCTGAAACCTCAAAGCTGATATATCCCCAGTGGCATACCCTCTTCCAACAAGGCCACACTCCTTCCAACACCACACCAACACCACACTTTCCAGTCCTTCCCAGACAGTTCCACTAAGTGGGAACCAAACATTCAAATATAAGAGCCCTCGGGGGCCATTCTCATTCAAACCACCACCGTGTGTATCTGCGTGTAGGTGCGCACATGTCACAACACCCTTGCAGATGTCAGAGGATGACTTGTGGGAGTCTGGGAGTCTCTTCTCTCCTGTCTGTTCCTTTTAAAGAGAAGATATAACACTGTAGTTCAAAATTGCTGGTCTATCAAAGACTTGAGGCCAGGTTGGAATCCTGTGGACAGTGTCAAAATAGAGGAGGAACAGACAAGAAAGTCTATATATTACAAGGCAGAGAAACATGTAGTTTGATGGCATAGCTTTTGGAAGATACTGACATGATGTAATTAATGTGAAATTAGCAACCCTTTCACTATAATAATCTTCAGTGTCCCTCAAGTAAAGATATTTACCCCATAACTCACTCTAGCACTTATGTCATATATATCAAAATTAATGAAAATATACTAAACCGAAATGTGCTCTTACATGGACTAGATTCTTCAAGATAAAAAAAAAATCAGCTGGGTGGTGGTGAATCATCCTTTAATCCCAGCACTTGGGAGGCAGAGGCAGGTGGATCTCTTTGAGTTTGAGACCAGTCTGGTCTACAAAGCGAGTTCCAGGACAGCCAGGGCTGTTACACAGAGAAACTCTATCTTGAAAAACCAACCAACCAAACAAACAAAAGATAAAAAAATCATATTAGCATCAAAACAGATGGAGGGTGAGGGTCCCTGGAAGGTCTGATACCAGTCACATGCTTACCATCAAATGGAAGGTTTTCTGACAGATCTTTTAGTTTTTCATCTGAGAGCTTGATTTTCAAGTTTTCCAAAGCATTTTCTAAGTTATTGACATCAACTGTCCCACCTAAGGAAAGAATCAGAGACACAAAAGGAATTTAGTAACTTTGCTGACTAAGAACACTTTCATTGATTCCCCCATATCATGGCTGTCAGCAAGAGTGTCAGCCCCCAGACGTTCAAGTGCACAGAACTGGCCAAAATGCAAAGAGAACTGAGAATGCTCTTGCTTGGTGTAGGGGAAAATCCCTAAAAGTGTGAACTCACTCTCCCACCAGGTACAACACGGGGCTCAAGAGCTCACTTTAGCTTGTTGAGTTAGGAAATTTCTCCCCAAGTAATAGCCCCAAAGGAGACTTTCTATGTGCAACCAGATTTCAATCTGATTTTTGTCAAAAGCTAATCTTAGCAGCAGAATGAAAAATTATTTGGAAAATGTGGATGGGAAGCCAGGAGAGTAAGTGTGGGATTGGCATGGGAAGCCAGGAGAGTAAGTGTGGGATTGGCATGGGAAGCCAGGAGAGTAAGTGTGGGATTGGCGTGGGAAGCCAGGAGAGTAAGTGTGGGACTGGCGTGGGAAGCCAGGAGAGTAAGTGTGGGACTGGCATGGGAGAGGGTGGTCCCCATGAGAGCACAGCCAGATACAAGTGTGAGGCAAGGGTTCTGTTCACCCTTCTCATCATGCCCCTCACCTTCGAACGATTTCAGACAGTCGATCAGTCTGTTTTCATATATATTTCCATTATCTGCAAAATAGGGGCACACACATCACAGAAAAGTGGTACCAGCCATTCAGAAGGACAGGACAGAGCTACCATCCCACCCAGGTGCTTTGGTGCTTTTCAGTGATTTGCCTTATAAATAGTTTGATATTTTGCTTGAATTCCAAAGTGAGGAATGGAGAAAACTTTCAGAGCATACATGTAGCTGGATGGAAGTAAGTGTAATAGCTTGTCGCCACATCCTACAGGAATACAGTCCATCTTTTCTCTGCTTCTCTTCTCTCTTCCTCTTCCCTGTTCCCACCAGCCTCCCTTCCTTTACATCTCCAAAGTTAGCTTTCCCTGGTAGGGAGACTGGAACAGAATAATGGCTTTCATTCCCAACCATAGGAAATCAAGAAAACAGAGTTGCTGACTCCCAGTGAAAGAACAAGATTATACTTTCTGAGGCAAGAACAAGGTCCTATGAAAAATTTTTGACAGCTCTTAAAAACAACAACAACAAATGGGATGCAGTCAATTATACCAGGAGATAAAAGTGTTCACTTTTTAAAGTATCTTGACACCCAACCTAACTTTTCCTAACATTCTAATAGTGTTTGAAAAACTCACCGTCAGTCGGTAGATTTCTCATCAGTTCTAAGTATTCTTTAGGTGTTAATGTTATTCCAGCGGCTTCTAAAAAACTTTTCACATCTTTAGCACTAATTTTTTCTCCTTCAAAAAAACAGAAGTAGTAAGCATAATTTGCAATATTAACAAATATCACAACATGTAACTGTTAGAAAACCAAGGCACAGAAAGGCTCCAAAGCAGAGTAAACAACAGGAGAGAACAAACCATGTTTCTTTCACTCTGAGAAGGGGAGCTCTTTTAGTACACTTAAAAATCACTTGTGTGTTGTATATGCCTGTGTGGGTGTATTTGTGGGTGCATGGGTATGTGCAGGTGTGTGTGGGTATAGAGGCCAGAGGTCAGCTTCAGCTGTGGGGTCATACACCTTTTTGAGACAGTGTCTCTCACTGGTTTGGAGCTCATATGTTATGCTAGTTTGGCTGACCAGAAAGCCCCAGGGGTCCACCCATCTTCACCTCCCCAGTGCTGGGATTAAAAGGGTGGACCACCACAATATTTATGTAGGTTCTGGGGATTGAAATCTGATCCTCATGCTTGTGTGCCAACATCACCCACCCTTGGGACATCTAGATGAGGAAGCAGAACACTAAGAAGATGCCAGAGTTTTGTTTATATGCCTCCTGGGCTTGTGAGTTTATGTATTAATGAAAAGATCTGAGGGCAGCATTAAAATTTAGGGTTTTAAACTTTAGAGAACTTTTAACTTGCCTACAACCGAGTTCACATCCGCTAATATTTTTTTCAGAGGGATACTTCGATTAGCTGTAATACAGAACATAAACAATTAAGATAATGATATATATATATATAACTTAGACAAATTATAAATTAGGATCTGATGAGAGCCTATAAATTTTACTAATCTATTTGTGTTTAACCTTAAATTTACATTCCCTGTTTTAAAAGCTGGATTCCTCATTATTAAGAAGGACCTTGGACGGTGGCCATTCTCTTGAGCACAGGGTTTGGCTATGAGACGTATCATGTCTTCATGGTACTTATGTATCATATCTTCAGTCCTTGGGTTTTTAGATGCCTTCTAAGAATGGTAACGAAACCATTCAAAAGGTGTGGTGGTGGTGGTGGTGGTGGTGGTGTGTGTGTGTGACTCACATATATGTAGACATTGACCTAGATGTTTCCTGTACCCCATCGATTCCTGATGTGTTGCCCTTTAACGTTTCCCACTTCTGTATTTATCTCATGTCATTGGATACCTTCGGGAATACTGATGGTGTTCCACTAATTCCTATTGTAGATTTTTCTTTCTTGATTATTTCTGGCTATCTTTACAATTCATTCTCTTTTACTCCTGCTCCCATTTTCTTTTTTCCTACAAGGCCCTGGCCTGTCAGTGTACTCCCAAGCCCTGAGGGAATAGCATGATGACATCAGATTACTAAAAAATGACAAAAGATAGAATTCCTTCTGACTTCCAGGCCAAATTCTTCTTCATAACTAGTACCTAAAATTCTCAGATTAATCTAATTGTAGAAGTATGTGGTGTGTGTGTGTGTGTGTGTGTGTGTGTGTGTGTGTGTGTGTGTGTGTGTGTGTGTGTGTGGCCTGGAACTTACCACACAGGAAGGTAGGTTTGGGACTTCCAGCAATCCTCCTGCCTCTGTCTCCCAAGTGCTGAGGTTATGGGTGTGCATCAGCATGCCTGTTTAATCTTAGACTCTCTTATACTTAATCCCAAGATTCTGTTTCCTGACACCCAAGGGCAGTCAGTCCTCGTGCTTACCACTAGCAGCAGCCTGCTTCTGTACCACACTTCTCAATTCCTTGTTTCTGAGTTTGAGCCCTAAGTTCTGGAGGAGTGGCTTCACATTATTACGATCAACCCTTCCACCTGTAAAACAGTTCAGACACATGAGAAAAACCCAATCCAGACATAAAGACTTACTAAATTAGAGTAACTTTCGACAGGCCTGGCTTTTGTTAAGAGTTAATTTGTCTGGTTGTGGTTGTGGTGCATGCTTTTACTGCCAGCATTTTGGAGGCAGAGGCTGGTAGCTCTATCTCGACCATGGTTGAAGCCAGCCTTGTCTTCACAGAGTGTTCCAAGGCAGCCGGCACTTCATAGTGAAACTTTTTCTCAAGAAACAAAGGCAAATAAACATACAAAAAAGAATTAGAAAGTTATTTGAAAGTGGTTTAGCAATCATGCTCCTTTTAAGTTTTCATAACTGTTGGGCTACTAATTCCACTTTTCATATGAAGAGGTCATGCCAAAGGGAGAAGGGTAAATGTACATTATAGTTTTTACTATAATAGAAAAAAAATCAAACACCAAGCAGCATCTCTGGAGCTTAAACATCTACTTAAGTGGGTGCTATTGAGTAAACTTTTATTCCACAGAAAAATTTACATGTAATGTAAAAAAGTTACATGTAATTATAAAAGGTGGTCACAGTAAGAAAAGCTGCTTTTGAACTGGGTAGAGTTATGGCATCATTTAACTTAGAGAAGTTAAAATTGTTGTCCTAGTAAAAATAGTCATGTCTGGCCGGGCGGTGGTGGCACACGCCTTTAATCCCAGCACTTGGGAGGCAGAGGCAGGCGGATCTCTGTGAGTTCGAGGCCAGCCTGGTCTACCAAGTGAGTTCCAGGAAAGGCGCAAAGCTACACAAAGAAACCCTGTCTCGAAAAACCAAAAAAAAAAAAATAGTCATGTCATGAACAGCATAAATGATGCCTGTGATTATCACTGCCATAGTCAGCAGTCCAGAGACAGCAAGTGCATGATAAGTAGTAAGTCTCAGAAGGACCCCTTCATTCCTTGGCCAGATGGGTGGGTATTCTAGATGCCCATCATACTGGGGACATCTTAACTCCATGTGTATTAAACATCTTTTTTATATTGTGACTCTTCTTTAGGTCAGTTCCTTCATCTCAAATTCAGGCATGATAATTTCTTCCAGCACTGGAAGACAGTGACTACTAAACATAAAAACCAGGACTCAGGTGTCATGGATGCCAACTTCCAACGAGATCTTAGAGCAGTTGTGACTTATGCAAATGGTGATATTTTAATTATATGTGGCTTGAAAATATGGAGTGCTTATGACCAGAAAACTGGAATCTGAGTTGCAGTATTTTCTAAATTGGTCATTTTATTAAATTGCAATTCTTAGCTGAGCGTTGTGATGGCTATGGTCCAGCACAGTGATAGTCAAGTACTAATGAGATCTGTCCAAGACCCACAGAAATAAAGCTGTGCATTCAAAACTGGTTCCTTTGAACTTGCTGCTGACCTATTTACATGCCATACATAAACAAAGACCAAAGTGATCAATGTGTAGAACAGGTTCCAGAAGAATCATGACCATAAACTAGGAAAAAAGGACAAAGGTGGAGAATCTCAAACCAATCCTATATACTCCTTTCTCCTAACATTTACTACTCACCTTTGAAAGCCCTCAGACTTGACAGGAGTCTATTTAGAAAAACTTTGTTATTTTCTGTAGAAAACAAACAAACAAAAAAAAGAGAAAGTTACAGTTCAGGACAGAGAATGTCTCAGTGAATACAGGGTGAGCTTTTCATTCTGTGGTTGACCTTAAGAAGTGGGTCCTCTTCCACCTTCAAGTCATGAAATTAAGGAACGAACGTCATGATGGCACAGGGTGTCTGGTGTAGGGCTGAGAGCTCGAGTGTAAATGCTCAGGCTTTGCTATTATTTAGCTTAAGCAGATCTATGCCTCTGTTTCCTCCACTGTAACACTGGGATAAGGTGTTGTTGCTGTGTGTCAAGGATGGCTCCTGAACATCATTGGGACCAGACAAATGCTATGTGTTATTAACTGCTCTGTTAATACACCCACCTCTAAGACAAATACTGGCTTCTATACAAGAGCTGAAACTTGCACTCATCATTCTTATTTTTGTTTCCAACTTTAATTATTTTTAAAAATATTTAATTTTACCTTTTATGTGTATGAGTGTTGGCCTGCATGTATGTTTGTGCAACACATGCTTGCTTGGTGTACTCAGGGGCCAGAAAAGGGCATCAGATTCCCTGGAGTTAGTGTGACAGATGGCTGTGAGCTACCTGACGTGGTGCTGAGAACCAAACCCGTGTCCTCAGCAAGAGCAGCAAATGTTCTTAACCATCCAGTCATCTCTCCAGCCCCTTCAATTACTTTTAAAAATATATTTTATTTATTCTTTGAGAATTTGATACATGTATATATTGTGTTTCAATCATATTTACAACCAAGGTTTCCCCCATGTTTTCTTCCCAACTTCATGTCCTCTTAAAAAAATATTTTAATTTTTGTGTGTACACGAGTGTACATGCTTTGTGGATGCCCCCGAAGGCCAGAAGATGGGGTAGAATCCTTAGGACCTGGAGTTACAGGAGCTGTGGGCTGTCTGATGTGAATCCTGGGAACCAAATTCAAATCTTCTGAAAGAACGGCAACTACTCTTAACTGCTGAGCATCTCCCAACACCACCACTTTTTAAAATTGCCCACTGAATCCAACTAGTGTTCCCTGTATATGAATGGATATAGGGTCCCCTTCTGGAGCAACCTGCCAGGGACCACATTCCCAAAGAAAACAGAATCTCCCTTAGCAGCCGCCCAACTGTCTATAGCTTCTCAGCCAGGGGTGGGGACTGTCATGTCCATTCCTCATCCATGCTGGAACATAAACCAATGGTTTGCTCTCATACATGTAATCATAGATGCTGTGGGCTTCCAAGTGCAATGGTCCTCACATGTTTCACTGTAGTCCTCTACACCCTTTGGTTCATACAATCTTTCCATCCCTGCTTCCTTGATACTCTCTTAGCCTTTCTTCTTTTTCTTTTTTCTTTTAGCTAGGGTCTTGCTGTGTATCCCAGACTTGCCTTGAACTCTGGATTCTTCTACTTCAGCCTCCCATGTGCTGGGATATTTCCTACTTTTGAAGTCCCCCATCCTTCTTTTCTTTTCTCTTCCTGTCTTCCTGTCTTTCTTTCCTTCTTTCTTTCTTTCTTTCTTTCCTTCTTTCTTTCTTTCTTTCTTTCTTTCTTTCTTTC